CTGGCTCTTTATATAAATGTATTCAATGTATATACATTGAATGTATATACATTAAGATTATGCATCAGTAATGCATAATCTTATTTTGTTATATAATATACAGTGACTCCAGTTTACCAGGTTTCTTAAGTTTTGTATTAGAAACATTTGGGTGGCAGAACCACTACAAACAAATATATTGAGCTGCATAAGCAAAAAGTTTCAGAAACTCTGCTCTAAACAGTAATATCTGAATAAAGTGAAATTAAACATCCCTTTCTCCTCACTTCTGATAAATTAGTATCCCTTCTATATCAGCCAGACAAATGTTATAGAATATTCCTGATAAATCTAGAAGAAAAATTCAAGAACAAACTTGACATCTAAACTATGATCTTTCTTATATTACACGACTGTGGATTGTTTTAGAAGTGACTGATAACAGAGCATTTATATTATTATGTTGGGTTTAGTGGGTTATACTCGGTACACACCGGTGGCTGTGTACTACGCCGGACCAGAGTCAAGGCATAGCAACCAAGAGCTAAATTAAATAAGCGTGTCTGTGTCTGCATTCAGGAATTTCCTAACAATATGGCATGTATTCAATATAGTGGCCTTCTGTAGTGTGATGTATGTATTTCTACTCAATTGTAATGTTCCCAGGCTTGTCTGTAGTGTGTGTGGTATCACACCTGTACAGGAGAGAACGACAGGTACAATAAGTACTCTATCCATCCTCCACAGATGCCTTATTTCCTGGGCGAGTTCTGTATACTTGCTAATTTTTTTAGTGCATGTGTTTTGTACATTGTTAGTGTTTGGAATAACTATGTCTATAATGTATGTGATTTTACTGTGTTTGTCAATGAGTGTGATGTCTGGTCTGTTGTGGTAAATTGTTTTATCTGTGATTATGGCTCTGTCGTAGTACATTTTGTGCGTGTTGTTTTCCAATACTGTCTGTGGAATATACTTGTAGTATGGTTCGTGGATGTCTGCCAATTTGTGTTTCTTTGCAAGCTCTTGGTGTATTATATTTGCTACTTGATTGTGTCTATGTAAGTAATCTGTCTGTGCCAAGAGCTTGCAACCAGAAGTGATGTGTTGTATAGTTTCTGGCATGATGTGACATTTTCTGCATGTGTCATTTGTGAGTGTTGTATCTTTGAGTATGTGTTTTCTGTAGTTTTTAGTATTTATGACCTGATCCTGTATGGCAATCATGAATCCTTCCGTCTCCCCAAAGAGGCATCCCCGATCTAACCAGCTGTTTGACGCAGTTTTGTCAACAAAATCCTGGGCCAGGTCATAAGGATGCCTGCCATGGAGTGCCTTTCGAGCCCACGATTGCTTGATGGTGTCTATGCTTTTTATGTGTTGTGTCATGTCTGTATGATGTGAGTGTAAGTTTAATGGTGTGTTATTTGAGTCTGCTAGAGTTACTGCTTTATGTAACTGTGATGTTTCTTGTTTCTTGTAGAAAAACTCTCGCAGTGACTGTATTTGTTTGTAGTGAAGGTTAACTATGTCAATCAGGCCACGTCCGCCTTCTTTACGTGGAAGGGTTAATCTTTCTGTGGCGGATTTAGGATGATGTTGTTTATGCTTAGTAAGTGTTGTTCTTGTTTTCCTTTGGAGTTGCTCGAGATCTGTGTGAGTCCAATGTATAACTCCAAAAGAGTATGTGAGTACTGGGATGACATATGTGTTTATTGCTTTAACTGTGTGTTTTGCATTTAACTGTGTTCTAAGTATAGCGTTTAACCTACTTTGGTATTCTTTAATTAATCGTTGCTTTATTTGTGTATGTTCTGTTAGTTTGGCCTGTTGGAATCCTAAGTACTTGTAGAACTCGCCCTCTTCCATGGATTCAATAACGTCTCCATTTCCAAGTGCAAAATCTTCTTTCTTCAGGATTCCTTTTTCTATGTGAAGTTTTTTGCATTTGTCTAGGCCAAACTCCATTTGTATGTCCTTAGTGTATGAATGTGTGATTTGTAGGAGTTGATGAAGTTGTTTTTGTGTGGATGCATAAAGTTTTATGTCGTCCATGTACATGAGATGTGAGAGTGTAAACTGTGTTGTTTTTTCATGTCTGATATTGTAGCCATAATGCGTGTTGTTTAACATGTTGGATAATGGATTCAGGGCTAGGCAGAACCAGAGAGGACTCAAGGAATCTCCTTGAAAAATTCCTCGCCTAATGAATATTTCGTTTGTTTGTATGGAAGTGTTACTAACCCTGAGATGTAGTGTTGTTCTCCAGTGCTGCATAGTGTTTTCGAAGAATGCAATGAGTGATGGATGTATTTTGTACATGTGTAGAATATGTAGCAGCCAACTGTGTGGAACACTGTCGAATGCTTTTCTGTAGTCTATATATGCCATGTGTATGTTTCTGTGTTGTTTGTGTGCTTGCCGTAGAATGACTGAATCTATGAGTAACTGTTCTTTGCATCCCCTGTGATTTCTACGGCAACCTTTTTGTTGTTCTGTAAGAATGTCGTGTTCTTCAACATGTTTGTATATTTTGTTTGTGATACAGGATGTCAATAATTTGTAGAGTGTTGGAAGACATGTAATTGGTCTGTATTGTGTGGGGTCTGTGGTTTTGTTGTTTTTAGGTTTCATGTAGGTGATGCCCCGAGTAAGAAATTTTGGCATGTCTTGTGGATTGATGATGATGTGTGTTAGATGTTTAGCTAGTTCCTGGTGCAGTGATGTAAACTTTTTGTACCAGAAATTGTGAATGTTGTCTACACCAGGTGTCTTCCAGTTGTGTGTTCTGTTAACAGCGTAGCGAATGTCGTGTATGTTTATTTCAGCACAGGGCATAGTTGGTATGTTGTGCAAGTTTCTGTTCTCCTCCTCGATCCAGCCTGCATCAGCATTGTGTGTAACAGCATTGGACCAAAGAGAAGACCAATAAGTTGTGAGTTCTTCTTCTGTTGGTGTGCCACTGTGCTGTGTATCAGTGTTTGTTTTGGTACTGATTTGTCTGTAGAAAAGTTTTTCATTGTTTGTGAATAATTTATTTTGTTGTTTTCGTAGTGTACATGTTTTGTATCGTTTGAGTCTACGTGCTTTGGCTGCGAGTTTTTGTTTTAGTGTATCGATGTATTCTGTAATGTGTGTGTTGTGATGTTCATGTTTTGTGTGTGTTTTGATTTTCTTGAAAATGTTTTTGAGTTGTTTCTTTAATTTGGGTGTTATGTTGTTTTTAGTGTATTGTGTCAGCCTGCCTAATTGCTGTCTAATGTCATTTATTTGTGTTTCTATTCATCTCTGCCAGGCAGGCTTGTGATAGAATTGTGTTTTGTGTGTGTTTGTCTGCAATTGTATTTTCAGTCCAAGGTGTGTTACTACTGTGACTGCCCCAGCATAAACTAATGTATGAATGTCTGAGAGGGTAGAAATTGAATGAATGTAATTTAATATAATAAAATTTCATTACAAATACTAGTCGTATCTTGCTTGCTTGCCACCTCCAATCACCTGGAACAACCATTCTTCACAGCAGAGATGACTTTTCTTTGTAGGCTACAGCTCTGCACAAATATGTATAATAGTCTAAAATGTCCACAGGTGACAATCCCAACACAATTAAAAATATAACATTTTCTTGTAAAAAAGGCTGGACATGGCAAGCAAGCAAGATATGACTAGTATTTGTAATGAAATTTTATTATATTAAATTGTAATTTCTGCCAGCCCTTTTTTACAAGAAAATACAATTGAATGAATGTAGTTTGGTAGTGAGTGAGTGTTTACATAATTTAGTGTTTCTCCTACTACCTTTGATGTGTTGATTTTCGGTATTCGTGGTCTTTGTGTGGGATCTGTGCCTGTATATTTAGTGAGTGTTTCCTGAAATATTAGTGAGAGTGTATTAACTAAATCTATGTCTATGTTATCAGTGATGGATGAGGAAGTGTCTGGAGTATCATTAATGGTAGTTGTTGTATGTGTACTATTATCAATGCTTGTTGCTGGATTATCCTGACAGGTTACGTGATCTTCATTAATGTTAAATGTTTCTGTCTGTTGATGTATTTGATCAGCAACCTGTTGTTTGATAAGTTCAAGTGTTGTTTGTGGGATAAGGTTGTTGTGTATAATTGTTCTTTTTTGATCAACAACCCTTTGTTCGGTGACAGTGAGGTGAGGATATTGTTGTGTGAATCTATGGTGTAGTTGTTGTCTGTATGCTGTCATGTTTGTTTCGAGTCTTGTGATGGTGTAGTAAGTGCGGATGATAAACTCGTTCATTTCTGTTGTCCATTTCATCCGTTGGCGTGGTTTTCCAGCCTTTGTGGTCTGTGGATGCATTGCCACAGAAACACCAAGGCTAGGTTGATTCCTCACATCTGTTGAGGGCATTGCAGTAGCCATGCTTGGGCCGGCGCTGCTTTCGCCACCGGTAACCAAGGGAGACTGGAGCCTATTTTTCGAACGTGAGCCTCTGCCTAACCCACGAACGCGGACCTTGTTAACCCGGGCGACGTCCGAGCCGGTATCATACTTAGATCTGGTTACTACCATAATAATTATCTCCACAGAATGTGGGTGTGTGGTCACTCTTAGCTTCATTTCTCCCCATAGACCTTACTGGCATGGGTGTCCCTACCAGGAGCTTGTGCTCCAGCCTGCATTGCTCTATGGTTCAGTAAAATTACTGGGCTCTCCCACCATGACCAGGTGGTGACCACGGGAGAGTTATTATTATTATTATTATTAAGAGAATAAAATAACTGATTGATATTGAATTATTCATTAATAAAATGTAATTTTAGATTTATTGTTTCAGACAAATTTTTTTATCTAGTTTAAATTTTCGCCCATATCACCCCCATAAGTATACCGCAAGCTATAAGTAACTTGACATTAACTAATAAATTTAATATCATTTAGTATTGTCATTGAATTTAGTTATTTTATCTATAATCGTTAACATCATTAAACTAAAGATGATATTTAGTAGTATAGATATCTAATTTGTATTTTTTCTAAATATTTAGGAGAATGTTGTTGTAAAACTCTCTCATCATATGTAGAAAATGCAATTCTGAATCTGTGTGCAGATTTAAAGGACAATTCTGTTGCTTTGGCTGATGCTCTTGCACCATCTGACTTTATTCTTAATTCTGTTTTGGGGAAATCAGATGGACAAGTGAGTCAAAATTTTTCATATAAGATATTTAGTAGTGAATTAAAAAAATTTTTTTAAAATATTTTCTTATAGATTTATAAGAATATGTATGATGAAATTAAGAAAACACAAGAAAATCCAGACTTTTCCATCAAACCTGAATACATTCTCTTGCAAAGTAAGATATAGAAGCATTTGACACTTAAATATGTTCGAACTGCCGACAAAACAATTTGAAACCCATCAACTAGAAATAAGAATTACATTTAAAATATTGTAATTTATAGAATAATTTTAATGTAATTTCTGTACAAAAATGCAATTTTAATGAAACTATTTTATATAATGTTTCAAAGAAATAAATTTTATAATAAGACACACAACCTTTAACATATATTTTTATAATGACTTCAAACTTTATTTTTTTTTCTAGCTTACATTATTCATCTTACAATTCACAAGTCTGATGATAAATTAAAACCTGATATTTTCAAACTTAGATTTTTTTAATATGTAAAATTTATAAAAATTAAACTGTTGAGCAAAGTATTTCAAGAAAAAAATAATAATATATAATTTTATTGATGCTTTAAAAATCATGCTTTTTTATGACTAGTATATGCATGGATTCCTTCCTTAAAGTACCAATAGCAGCTAAACAATAATTCATATTAGTACAGATAATACAATAAAAAACACATCAAAATTAGACTGTTATACATTTTATACTTTAAACATAACAAATTACTTCAAATTATTTTCAGCTGCCATTCAGGACAAATACATTTACAGTATTAACTAATTTTTTAAAAGTATTTTTTGTTTGTTTTTTTAGTTTTCAAAACATTTGTTATGAAAAATTTCTGAGGACTTACTTACAAACTAAGTAATTAATAAACAAAAAAAAATTCATAATTATTCCTAGCAAAATTTCTTTTTTAGTCAATATTTTCTATCATATAAGGTTAAAAACTGAAATAAAAAATTTTTGTTATCAACTGAATGCTGTAGTTTTTATTAAAAGAAGTTACAAGATAATCAAGAATATAAAATTATTTAAATTCTAAAAGGAATGTTTAAGTTTTCAGTATACTTCTGGATAAGTTTCATTAACAATTTTCAGAAAAATAATAATATTCAGACACATTAAATATTTATTAAAACATATGTAAAAGTTTGTACAATTGAAATTAAAATATATAAATTTTATAAATGGCACATAGTCATAATTTTGAATTTTTAGAAACTNATAATACTGGTTCAACTTCCTAACAAATAAATATTTAAATAAAACAAATTTATCAGGAATGCTATGAATATGGAAATCAGTTTTTATGATTGTATAATATTTTTCCCCCATTATCACAAGCAATAAAGTTTATTAAAAATTGCTTTCTATCGAAAACAATTATATCAATACCTACATAATCACAAGTGTAAAGATTTTATAACAGTTGTAATCCAGAATGTTTCGATAGAGCATTGTATTAACAAGAAGAAACTAAAGAGAGACTATACAGAATTTATAAAATAATTATACAAGTTTCATATACAATATGAAATAAAGTAAAAAACACAATGCTTTATCAATAAAGATAATTTAATTACACAACACATGAAACAAGAATATATGTCAGCATAGCCAATTAATTATCTAATTTCTATAGGAAGTTTACACTCTAGTTAATATCTAGAGGGTGCTTCGTGAAAAACACCACACAACATCCTCCAGAATATTTGGACAGACAAATACAAGGCACTTAAGCTGCAAATTCACTTCATTCAGAGGATAATAAATTATCATCCACTGATTTAGTTATCACATGTGCAATGTGAAGCTACAATGCACAGGCCGTACGATAAAGTACGGCAATTTTGAGAAATTTGTAAAATTTTGTTGTTAGTTGAATATTAATTATAAAACATTTAATGCAGTCGACATTTACAATAATTCTAATTAGCACAAGAGTGATGATTATTATTATTATAATTATTATTTTGAATATGACAATTTATATTTTATTTATTTCTTGATTTTCGATTGACTAGTTTTTATAATAAATTGCACTAACTTAAATAGATATACAGAACAAAAATACACATTATAAAATTAATGTTTTTGAACACACAAGGATTAAAATTACATAAAGTTCATTCTTACTGATTGGTTAATTTGAAGATTGTAGACTAATACATACGCTCTTCATTTAATTATTATTATATCCCCACTTAAAATACTGATAATTTTAAAGTAAAATTTGTAATTAAATGCAAGTATACACAGTATTTAAAAAAGTAAGGACATAAGGATTTATTTTATAAAATCTTAGATATAGAAGTTTTAATTAAATAAAATAATTACATGTAAAATTTACAGTGATAATCTCAAATTAGCCATTTTACATTTGATGTCTATATTTTATCATGAATTAGAAAATTTTTGAATAAAACAGCAGAAATTTTATGAATTTTTTCAAATTATATTTGCTTTCGCATTCTATTTTTATAACTTAAAATATTTGATAGTTGACTGGCTTTTATTTTTAGATTTAATGTAACAAATTTAGTAAATATCTGTTAAACAATTCTCTTAATATGAAACTGTGTCTGTATTTTTATTTGGTTTATATCACACAACAAAGTGTAGTACAATTGACACAAGGCTTTTCTTTACATCCTTATTTAATCTGCTTTTTTATTTGTCAAGACATGCTTTGGGAATTTGCCCCTCATCTGTCTGCTACATAAAATTATGATGTTATAATTTTAATGTAGCTGATAGATGAGGGGCAAATATGTCTTGGCAAATAAAAAAAAAAAACAGAGTAAAGAAAGATGTAAAGAAAAGCCTTGTGTCAACTGTACTACACTTTGTTGTGTGATATAAACCAAATGTTAAACAGTTAACAAAATCTTATAATATTGATTTAGAAATGTTACATTAATAATATTTTATTGTCATAGTATTTTTGATTTTGTGTTTATTTTCCATCATGTTTGATTTTTAATGTTAATGTTTTTAATGTGATTGCCTATACTATGTTAAAAACATGAAAGATGTGTTACAATACAAAACCATATATTTAAATTTTGTCTGTTGTAGCCAATTATAATCTAAGATATTATTATGTTTAGTGTATTTGCTGTATATTAAAAGTTTTATGAAATCAAATATATTTCAAATTCAGTAAAAAAACATGTATTATTATTTTCCAATAATAAATATAAAATTTCATTAGGAAATTTGAGAAATTTTGCTTAGTCTATTATGGTAAAATCTCTAGATGTTCACTTGAACATGCTTAGGATGTTGAAAAATAGCAAGTAAATATATGCAATAACAGATTTTGATTTATCAATTATAATAAACATATAATTCTAGTCACTATAAACAAAATTTAATTAATATGAATAGTATAAATTTATCTCAATACAGCTTGTCATAAATAAGATTCTATGAAAGTATTAAAAAAATTATGACAATTAACAACATTCTATCTAAAATATGAAGTAATTTACTTTGACTCTTCAACACAATTAATGATATTAGTTTTTGATTGAAAACTAATTTTCAGATATTAAATTAAAAACCAAAATATGAGTTAATAATTAAATTATTTAGTACATAATTCAAGTACTATAAGAACATCAGCAATCTATTGTGTATATTTAATCATGATATCTTTAGTAAACTAATCTAATTTAAAATTTCTTACAACTTTAGTAATGATAAAATTAATATTTTTGAGAAAATACATTTTCAATTTATAAAAATTTGTGTAATTTGTCTTCACTTCATTAATTTATTAATGGTTTAAATTCTCCATTTGTATTTGTTGTTTGTCTTCTATAAAACATATGTAGTAAATATAACATTTTTAAATAAATTTACTTTTATAAATGCATATCATATTTTAAAAGTAATTTGTAATTTAGAAACTTTATTTTATTGACTTATTCATTTTTAAATATAAATTGTTCTATATTACATTGCAAAACTGTTTATAAATATTTTATTTGCAATTCTAATTTTTGTTTCTCAAAAAATCTATTGTTAATGACAACGTATTTGAACTACTAAACAATTTATTTTCTTGACTCATATTTTGATTTTTAACATCAGATGTGTATAAAGAATCAAAAATAAGACTCATCTGTTATGGCTACATTATTAAATTATGTTGTAACACTTTGGATAGTTTATTGAACTCTCTTAAGAGCAAACAAAAATGCATTTAAAGCTTGTAATAATATTGCAATGAGGGAAAAATTAACATAATAGACAAGAGAACTTCTGAAGAATGAATGATTTGCTCAAAAATTTAATTTATTTCTGTTTTCAGCAGTTTAATTAATGTAAAATCTTATGATTAAAACTTTTACATCTAAAATTTGGATCCTTATGAAACATCAAAAAAAATACCATGTATAGATAAATATATACATATCTTATTTTTAATAAACATTTCTTTTTTTTTTATTATGTTAATTGTATACTGTTAGAAAAGCACAATTCATTAAATTTGCTTTTATGATTTAGATTACAAACTATACAATATACCTGTTGTAACAAAATTCAATATAGAGATTTGAAAATTAAAATTATATTGTACTATCATTTTATGATTACTATAAAATATAGTAAGGAAAAAAGGAATTGTTGTTGCAAAATAATGATAAAATTTAACAAAACAAAAACAGAATTAAATCTTTATATTTATGAAAAAGAACTATTTTGTAAATCTATTAGTGAAAATTAAAACAGAAAAAGATTTTTAACATATATCAAATTATTTGTTGATTCTAGATATTTTTAAGGTTTGTTGTAATATTCAAATTTTAAAATAAGACAACTCAAAATGTTTTGAAAACTTTTTTACATTTCTGTAAAAGAAATGTTATAAAATTACAAATTAACAAAAAAATCTTTTTGTATACTTACTACAAGAAGTTATTCGAGGGAAAAAAATCTCATTTCTGATTTAATGATTGGTATAAAAAACAAAAATTTTTTTCTTTTGGTTTACTCTGTCTTTAATACATACAACATAATATCTGCATTTACAACTATGTCACTGAGTTGAAAGAAATTTGAATTAAAATAATGTCTTCTTATAGTAAGCTATTACATATATACAAGTAAAATTGTATAAAAAAATTCTAGATAAGAACTTTGTACATTGTTATTAGTTTTATGAAATAAAAATACATTAGAAATAGTGTAATATTAATGATGATTAATATGTACAGTAAACTTAGTCAAGAAAACTTAAATTTGGAAATCAAATTTATAAAGTAAAGAGATTATTTAAAGCAAAATACAAATGAATTATTCAATTTACTATATAACTAAAAGTTATTTTTAGATCTG